ATGACAAAAGAATCCTTGTAAATTAAAGTGTGGTCTGTAACCGGTGCGCGGTGGCACGGGCAGCTCCTGAAAGCTTGTTAGAAATACAGTCTCGGCTATGTGACCAGTGTACCTGGAATGTTTTGGGGAGCACTGAGCTGCTACCCCGCCTTCTGGGGAACAGTTCCTCTTCTTTCCCAGTCATTCATTAGAACGGAATCCCAGGCAGGTGGCTGGATGCCCTGCGGGCCCCTGGGCTTATCTCTTTATGCCACCTGTTCTGTCTCTTTTGGGCACACAGGGAGCCATGCCTCCCGCTGGGCATGCTGCCATAACTGCCTTTGCCTCCCGGGAAGGATCACTGGAGGTGCTTGAAGGGGCTGACAGGATTTGCTGAAAAACAAAATAGGAGTTCCCATCACTTCCACACCTCTGTGTGCACTGCATCCCTAGAGCAGTTGTCTGATTATTTCCTTGCTTAATGACTCTGGCTTGGAGCTCTTCCTGCCCCGGAATCCCTATTGGCCTTCCTGTTCTCCCAAAGCTCTGACAACCCCTCCCCCCCATTGCATTCAACACTTTTACAGAGATTTGAAAATGTATTTCTTTTTATCTATCTGAAAGGCAAAGTGACCCAGAGAAAGAGACAAAGATTTGTCTGCTGGCTCATTTTCCCCTAGCTGCGACCGACTGAAGCCATGAACCAGGAAGTCATTCTCTGTCTTGCATGTGGGTGGCAGGGACCCACATACTTAGGCATCCCCTGCTGCCTCCCATGGGTGTGCTTGAGCAGGAAGCTGGATTAGAAGCAGAGGAGGGCACTCCATCTGATATGGGGAACAGTGGTCCCACATAGCAGCTGAACTGCTGCACCACAATAAATGCCCCATCTACAGGCCCTCTGATATCCCCTATTCATTATTGAAGTATGTGTTGAACCCTTGGTGAGTGAAAGGCCCCATGCTTGGTGGGGAGAGGCAAGCCTCTTCCCTGTCTCTCTGCTTGCCATCAGCATCGTTTCCTTCTCGGTGGTGAGCCAAAGCCCGAGCCCATCCCCTGCATCGTATCCCTGGATGCAGATAAGCACCTGCTTGGCCAGGGGAGTTTGCATCTTTCTCCTCTGTCTTTTTCCATTCCCCACTGCCACTTGCAGGTGTGGGAGGCTCAGTTTAGTCATTCAGGTGTAGAGCAACGTGGGCTGGCATTGGGAACGTGGAGAGGAAGATGAGGGAGGCTCCAGGAAGAAGGGCCAGGTTCCAGGGCCATTTGGCTAAGAGGGCTGTCCCTGCAGGAGAAGGGGTAGAGTGGGCGCCTGAGGGTGGCCATGTATGTGCACACTCAGATGCGCACATTCACCATTTCTTCTGTTTTCACTTGTTAAAGCTATGTGTGTTTATGCTGTGCCGAAGTGGAAACCACAGCCAGGTAGCAGCTGGGAGCTCTTTCCTGACCCCATGCCTCAGGCCCACTGGGGTATTCTGAGGCATCTTGCCCTTCACCATCCTCTTACAATGTCATCTTGTGTCTTTTCTCTTTTCTAGGTTTCTATTTGGAGAGAGGCCTTTTTGGTGGGTCCATGAGTCTGGGTACTACAATCGGGCACCTGCCCAGGTTCACCAGTTTCCATCTTCTTGTGAAACTGGTCCAGGTGGGAAACCTCAGCCCTTTGCCTTTTCCCAGTTTGATTGGGGTTTGAGGAAGCTTTTCCCAGGACCATTCAACTAGGGTGGCCCTTCTTTCTGTCCAGACAGACTAGCATCTTAGTTACTGGCTCGGAGAGCCCAGTAATCCCTGGAAACCCAAGTTAAGCTGGGGAGGAGGGCACCCAGGTCAGACACCATACTGCCCCAAGGCCCACCTGGTTCAGAGTGGAGCCCAGTGGCACAGCTCAAGGCAGAAGCATGACAGCAGAGGCGTCCAGCCACAGGGAGCCATGGACCAGAGCTGGGAGGAAGTTTGCCTCTCAGCCACTGGCCTTTGCTTCTGTCCTCTTACCATGTGCTTCTGGGTTCCCCGGCAGGCAGCCCCTCCGGACACTGTATGATCACGGGAGCGGCCCTCTGGCCCATAATGACGGCCCTCACTGCCCAGATGGCTGCTCGGGCCCACAGGTATGCCCTTGGCATTACCACCTTGGAGAGTAGGGGTGGGGGCATCCTGGGCCCAAGAGACACAGCAGCATGATGGCCTGGGGGCTAGAGCTCCGGGGATGACTGGTTGTTTGGTCAAACCAAGGAGGGTATGGGCACCGCAAGTGGCCTCGCTGTGTCCCTGAGCTGTTTGTCTCTCTTCTTTCTAGGCGCTGGGTAAAGGTGATCCCCTGCCTGGCTTACTGCACCTTCCTCTTGGCAGTTGGCCTGTCCCGGGTCTTCCTCTTAGCACATTTCCCTCATCAGGTGTTGGCAGGCCTCATCACCGGTGAGCACCTGGGGCAACAGAGTGGGCCAGAACGGTCCCCTTGGCTGTGGGAGGACTGTGTAGCAGCCCCTCCACCTTCCCAGCTTCCCCCGAGCCAGCCAGCCTCCGGGCCCACTGACATCTCAGCCTTTTTTCTTGCCAAGCCATGCTGCAGCTTGGGGTGAGAGGCCATGCTCCCAAACTCCTTGAAGCTGCTGTTATGCCATTCTCCTAGGTGCTGTCCTGGGCTGGCTGATGACCCCCCGGGTGCCCATGGAACGAGAGCTAAGCTTCTATGGGCTGACAGCACTGGCCCTCATGCTGGGTGCCAGCCTCATCTATTGGACCCTTGTTAGCCTGGGCCTGGATCTTTCTTGGTAAGCCTGGGAAGGATGGGGTGAATCTTAACCAGGTCTGGTGGGGGCTCTAGCTCGCTGGGCCCTCCTGAGCTCACAGCCAGGTGTGGGAGTGGACCCTCCCAAGGCACATGGCTGGAAGCCAGCAGCTCTGGAGACTCCGGCCTCCTGGCAAGACATTTCTTCCCACAGGTCCATCAACCTGGCCTCCAAGTGGTGTGAACGGCCTGAGTGGGTACATCTGGACAGCCGGCCCTTTGCCTCCCTGAGCCGTGACTCAGGGGCTGCCCTGGGACTGGGCATCGCCCTACACTCTCCCTGCTATGCCCAGATTCGGCGGGCGTACCTGGGAAATGGCCAAAAGATAGCCTGCCTTTTGCTGGCCATGGGGCTGCTGGGCCCTCTGGACTGGCTGGGTCACCCTCCTCAGATAAGCCTCTTCTACATCTTCAACTTCCTTAAGTACACTCTCTGGCCCTTCCTGGTCCTGGCCCTTGTACCCTGGGCTGTGTACATGTTCAGTGCCCATGATGCCCACTCCATCCACTCTTCCTGACTCCCTTGTGCCCTCTTTGTCCCTGTTCCTGCCCACAAAGCCTGTTCTCTTTGACCGCCACACTCCAGGAGGCAGCCTCCTCTCTGAGTCACCAAGCAGGCCCAACTTGACCAAATGTTCTCTCACCACCTGGTCCTGGCCCCCAAAAGGGCCCTCTCCTGCCTTTGTTGTGAAGTCCCTGGAAAGCAAAAGCCATGGTGAGACTAACAGGTCCCCACGTCACTGCAGAGGGTGCTCAGGGCAGCCTCAATAAAGTCCTTGAAATTTCTGGATTCCTCTCAAAGTTCCTAGATTCCTTTCTCACCTTTGCACCCATCAGCATGGAACTCACCCTGCCAGGCTACCATCTATACCAGTTCCTGCAGGGCCAGGGAGGAGGTGCTGGGAACCTACCTGCCCCCCCCCCCATTCATCACCACAGAGGAAGCCCTGCAGAGTTGCCCTCTGTGGCTTCCAGTCCAGGGCTGGAAGAGAGAGCAATTTTGTTGGCTGGGAAGGAGGATGAGGACCTCGCCTCCCCCTCGGAGCCCACAGAACATACGCTGGCCTTAGGAGGCACTGCCAGAACAAGTTTATTTCCACAAGGATGCATGAAATAATGGTTACAAAATGCTTAACTCCAGCTCCAGAGACAAAACAAGGAGTGGGCTTACAGAATCAGAACTGCCACAGGCACTGGGAAGCAAAGGGACCCAGGGCCCAGGGCCCAAGCCCCTTCCCTTCCCCCAGGCAAAACACAACACACTAGCACACTAGAAGCCAATGCGAAATGGGGTAGGGACACTTGCCCCCACCAGCCCCCTCTACCCAGGCCCCCATCAAGACACTGACTAGGCAGAGATCTGAGGTGGGAGTGGAGAATGTGTATGTCTGGAGGAGTGAGGAAGAGTCAGTTCTCTAGAAGCAGTTTCTCATCTTTGGTTTCCTATGGACTACACAGAACCTTCTGGAAGCCTAAGGGTCCTATTCCTTGGAAACAGAGCTGAGCAGGACTCCTGGCAAGGGATGGGCTGGTAACCAGCAACTGGAGCGTGATAGGAAGGGAAACCTTGCTGAGGGCCTAAGGCAGGACTGCTCGACCCTGGTCTGGAACTTTTGAGAAGTCCCCCTCTCACTGTCTCCAGGCTTGAAAGCAAAGGTTCCAAAAGGAAGGCGAGCCCAGCCCTCCTCCTGGCCGCACACAGGCCAGAAACACCTGGGCCCAAGTGCCAAGGTGTCCTGACACCCCTTTATAAAGACCCCTTCCCCCACCCATCCCAGTGAGGGCCCACAGAGGACTGGGCGGGCTGGGGGGAGGCAGCAGAGTCAGGGGAGAAAAGGTGAGTCTTAACCTGCCTTAGGGAAAGGAAAGCAAGCAGGTGCAACCAGCCAGCCCTGCCCCAGCTTGGGGCACTGCTGTGGCTCCAGCTGTGGAGGGCAGCCTAGGGGAAGGGGGAAAGTTAAGGCATGGCCCTCTTAGGTCAGCTAAACCAAGGCGCCACCTCTGCTGCTTCTCTACAGTGGGAGAGGAGCCAGAGGCAACCCAGTCCCCAGTTTGAGCTAGAGCTGAGGGGGAGGACAGAGGCGGGGAAGTGGGTGTGGCTTACAACCAGGGCAGGTGGGCCCCAGCAGGAGCAGTACCAATCCCCACAAAGGAAGCAGACTCGACTTGACATGTGGGCCATGGGTGGGGTGAGGAGAAAGAGGCTGATAGATCCACACGGCACAAGTTGTTGAATGTGTGACTTTTTGTTTTTAATAGAAAAAATAAACAAAATCACAATGATGACACCCAGAGGGATGGGGGCTGGGGTGTCACAGGGTGGGCTCCTGCTCCATGGGCTCCTCTGCCGACCTGTGGGCACAAGCACAGGGTAGACACTGAGTGTGGGCATTATGGGGCACAGCTCAGGCGAGGACACACAGCTGGCAGGGCCTTACCTGGGACTGTGCTCCCGGGTAGCGGTGGCAGCCTGGGCCTGCTCTGCCCCCACTGACAGCAAGGCCATGGCGCTCACAGTCTCGGCCTCCTCCGTCTCACCTGCCTGGGCCTCTCGCAGGGAGCGGCCCAGACCAGCAGCAAACCTCTGCACGCAGCTCCAGTGTTTGCCTGGGGAGGAGCAATAGGCAGGGTGTCACCCCTTGGGGGTGCCCATGGGGTATGGGAGGAGGGACGTCCCCAGCCCTGCACTCCCACAAGCCCTGCCCCTAGGGCAGGCAGAGGTTGGACCCCCTGTGCCTGTCCCTGCTGTGCCCACGCACTCTGGATCTCGATGGCTTTCTCCAGCGTGGCCACTGCGTTAGTGTTGGGCTTTTGCTGCAAGACTGCCTCATCTAGGGGCTGCAGCTGGTGGGGAAAGAAGAGAATTAGGGTGTGTGTGGGGGGAAGGCCTGCCCCTCTACTGCCCCCACCCGGCCCCAGGGATCCTCTGCAACAGGGCTGTACAGGAAGCCCTAACCAGCTACCAAGCATCTTTATTTTATTTTTAATGTCTAATTTTTAATGCTTTAAAAAAAACCACACATTTATTGAAAGGACACAGCAACAGAGATCTTCCATTCACTAATTCACTCCCCAATTGTGCTGAGCAGTAAGGGCCCAAGTACTTGGGCCATCCTCTGCTGCTCTCCCAGGCACATTAACAGGGCAATTTACATTGGAAGCAGAGGACCCAGGACTCGAACCAGAGCTCTGATATGTCGAGACGCAAGTGTGCCAAATAGCTTAACCCTCTATGGCATGATAATCATCCCCCTAAGCCATCTTTGGGACTGAGGGACATCCTGCCAGTAAGGCCCTTGGCACTGCCTGACCCAGAGAAGGGATGGGCTGGTGGGCTCCACCTTGCAGCCCTCACCTCCACGCTGAGCAGAGCCGAGACACAGGCTTCAGAGGCATCACAGATGGCGGTCAAGTCGTGGCCTCCCTCCAGGGCCAGCACCACCCGGCCCCCAGCCAGTGTCATCAGCTGCCTGGTCAAGTGGCCAAAACCTTGAGGGGATGGATGAAGGAAAGGATGACAGTAAAAACAATAATTCAAGAAATGGTAAGAGGATAGAAAAAGCAAGTGAGATAGCACAGCACAAGAGGGAAGCTTAGCTGTTAACAGGCTGGGTGCACTTTGAGCAAAGGCATGGGCTGCCTCCTACAGCCAAGGCCAGGGTCAGAGAGGAAGGGCAGAGGGACACGCTCAGTGTGATTCTAAATCTTAGGCCAGCCCCCAACCCCCTTCCCCCTGCCATATCAGCCTACTGGCCCCCTGCCCCACGCGATGTCAAGCTCACTGTCCCACACCCCCCTGGATTCCCCAGCAGGCTCACATCTGGCGGTGACAGAGTAGCCACCCAGTGGAGACAGATGTCCTTCAACGGCATCAAACCCAGCAGAGACTAAGACCACGTCAGGTGAGAACTCGTGGGCAATGGGCATCACCACTGTCCTGCAAAGGGATGGCCCAAGCTGACCCAGCAGACGGCTGGGCCACACCTCGCCCCGTTCAGTTCCCCAGCCACAGACACACTCCCCCCTTCCTCCTACACTGAGCTGAGTGCCCGCTGCCCCTCCCCCTACAGGGTCCAGGAGACTCCCACCCCAACCTGGGCCCTTGTCAGTCCCCACCTGAAGGCTGTCAGGTACTCCACATCTCCAATGGGGGGATCCACACCTCCCGTCCATGCCACATTCACATTGTACCCCACGCCTGGTCCTCCACCAACCTGGCAGTGGGAAATGGGGGAGGGGGGATGGTTACTCTTGCTGCCAGGGGATCCCAGCCTTGACTCAGCCCCACCCACTGACCTCTGCTGACTCCCCCAGGTACCAGCACCACCCCCTCCAGGCCTTGTGGCTTCCCACTAGGCCCCAGGCTGCTGCATCTCAGAGGCACCCAACTGGTGCCCAGGAACCATACCTCTTCAGGAGCCCCAGAGCCCGGAAAGAAGTTGCCATTGTCATAGCGATGCAGGGAGATGTAGAGCACGGAGGGGTCATTGTAGAATGCTTGCTGAGTGCCATTGCCATGGTGAATGTCCTGGAGGGGAGAGGGGGGAGCAGCTGGCAAGTGGGCCAAGCACTGACTCACCCAAATGTCAGAATTCCCAGCACTCCCTTGCCCACCCGACAGTGTGCTCTGGGTCTAAGCTCTCCCTGGGCTCCCAGCTATACAAGGCAGGATCAGTCCTGGGGAGCGGCTCCTGGCCCTGCCACTCCCATTCCACTAGACAGCCTGGGCATATGCAGCAAGGGTAGTGAGCAACTACCACCAAACAGGGAAAGTCTTCAGAAGGATCTGACATGTACATGAATTCCTAAGCCAAAAAAATAGGGCTTGGTGAGAGTCCCGGCCTTGCCAGGAGCCTTTCGCTCCATGGGCAGCACAGGGTCTGAAAGCAGCCAATGGAGCAAAGGCAGAAGGGGCAACACCAGGTGCCACCATCCCTGACTGAGAGACCTTGAGCAGATCACCCCCCAGTGCCTTCCTGTATAGAAACGTACATCGTAGTTCTTAGTACTCGAGGCAACCACGAGCAGCACTGGGGCCAAGTACTAGACAAATCCCTGGCACATGGCTGGCTCCTGTCTGGAGTCAGGGAAAGGGGCTGTTATTGATGGCAGTTGGGCCACTACTATTTACAGTAGCAAATCCCCTTGGGCTGCTTGAGGCTGCACAGAGGGGACCAAGATGGTAAGGGGGCTGAATGCCCTGGGGTCTCCATCTGTGATGAGGAACCCCTCCTGGGAGGTGAGGACCAGGCTGGTGACCCCACAGGAGGAGTACATGGGCTGTGGGGGGACTTCCTCCTTCCAAGGGCTAAGTGTGATCCTAGCCCTACCTAGCCCCCAGCTCACTACCTACCCAGTCCACAATGAGGACCTTGCCCACGTTCAGCTTCTGTTGCAAGAGTTTGGCTGTGATGGCTACCGAGTTGAAGAAGCAGAATCCCCTGAAGGGCACAGGGAAGAGAGGGTGGATAGGTCAGCTGCACTGGCAAGAAACAGAAGGCCCAGGCCGAGAGGTAAGGACCCACGTGGAGCATCACTCACATGGCGGTAGACTCCTCGGCGTGGTGTCCTGGGGGCCGGATGATGGCAAATCCATTCTACAGAGGACAGAGGGCCAAGGGCATGGACAGACCAGAAGATGGGGTGGCCCAGGAAGAGGTGAACACAGGAGAGCAGCACAGCCAGGCAGGAAAGAGAACACAGGCCATGTTCACATATACTCAATAACTACTCGTCGCCATGGCTGCCCAGCACACACAAGAGCCAGCAAACAGGGGTGCTGGGTCCCTAGGGATCCCCAACCCCTTGTGCCTCGCGGAGGGGAAGCTGAGGCTGAGAACACAGGACCAAGTAAAGGGTCACCAAGGCCACAGACACAACCTCACCTTGAGCTCGCCCGCAGCCACCTTGAAGGCCAGCTCCACGAGGCAGCCCACGGCCATGCGCACGGCACTGGACGAGTGCATCTCGTTCCACACGGTGTCACTGTCCACCTATGGGGGGCAGCAGAGCAGGTTACAGCCAGCCCCCTGCAGGGGGAAGGCAAGCACAGGAGACAGTGGCACCTAAACAGCGAGCAAGTAGTCACAGTGGGTGGGAAGGGAGGGCGGGGGCTAGGAGAACCACTTTACTCACCCCGATGCCCCCACAAGGCAGCATGGCATACATCTTCTGGCTGATGGGACCTGCAGGGGAAGGGGCAAGCTAGTCTGGAAGTGACCTCACCTGCCAGAGCAGCAAATTCGGTCATAGGAAATGAAAGGACCCAGGCACGGGACAGGGCTCTGCCACCCACATAGGTTGGCAGCTGCCTGTCCTTTTCTGGGGGGCTTCCTGCTTCCGGGAGGCAGGTGGGCAAAGAGCGGTACAATAGGCCGAGAGGACAAAGCACAAGCTCTACTCCCCTATCCTACCCCACCCCCAGCACAAGCATCAAGCGCCTCCTTGGTCCTTCTCCCATCTGCCTGCATGGTTCACTGTGTATTCAGACTCACAGCGCCTTCTGGAGGTGATTCCCCATGACCTGAGCCCACGCAGACCACAAGGTCTTCCTGACAGCCCCCACTTCATCACACCTCAAACCTTGGACATGCCGTGGGCCACGCGCCCTGTGCATTTGGCTCACCCAGCAGCTTCTTGCTGTCCAACTTCTGCCGGTTGAGGGGGCTGGTCCCGTAGAGCAGAGTGTGGTACTCGGAGTGCACTGTCTGGATTTCATCCAGTGTAGCTTTGCGCCCCCGAATGCGCTACAAGAGAGACCAGGGAGACAGTCCCCCCCAGAAGGGTCCAGAGCCCTGTTTCCTCACAGCACAGGACACACAGAAGCACTGTCTGGCCTCAGGAGGTGCACAGCCCCTTCCCCAGACCAGAGACCCACCCTCTACTCCAGGATCCTCCCCCATCTTGGCTGGTGAAACTGGAGGGAACAGGTTACAAGGCTGGCCTGAGGGGTCAAGGATGTGGCCCCAGGTCTGGGGGTAGAGAGAGAAGGAGATGCGACCTGGGGCTAGGGCAGGAGGGGTCCCTCACCTCACACTTGCTGAGCAGGCCCGTCTCCTGAAGCCGGGACCAGATGCTCTGGATGCGGCCGGCGTGCTCAGGGTGTACGTGTGTGTTCCCACACATGCATTGGTGTTTCAGCATGAACGTGTCGTAAACCACACCTGGGCCACACAGCCATGTGTCAGCCAACCCCATTCTGGGCCCAGTACTACTGCCTGGCTGCCACCATCCTCACAGGACCTACAAGCTCTCCCTCACCCCATCTGCTTCCCACCCTCTCCAGCTTCTGCCCCAGCACATCCCCTCCCCACAGAGCCTGCCCTAGGCCATGTGCACTACTCCCCATTGCTTCCCGCTATTGACTTGGCTCCATCTTCAGGTGGACCCTAGGCAGCCTTATGGGGATGAGTTTCCAAAACCCACCAAGGCCTCAGTCTGACTTCATAAGGGCAAAACTCCAGAGACCCTGTGGGTTCTCCCCACCCTGAGCTCAGGGCTCATAAGGCAATGTGCCAGGTCAGGTGAGTGCTTGGATGTGGGCAGAAGGCTGCTTTCACCTCCCTATGTGACTGTGGGGTACAGAGGAACGGTACCTGCAAGGTGTCCAAGAGTCTCTAGCTGTGTCTTGGCCCTGACTTTGGGGCCAGATGCTATGCCCAGGTCCCCTGGTACCTGGTGCATGGGACAATAGCAGTGGGACAGGGGAAGGGGCTCACCTGTGGTGAAGAGGTGCTTAGTGGGCTGGTCTGGGGGGCTCTTCATGCTCCCAGGAGCAGCAGGTGAGGACTGGGTGCGGCCCAGGGCCTGGTGGGGCACAGTGGCCAGGCTGAGGGGTGCCTGGTACACCTGCAGAGGCTGCAGCTGCTGGGCATCTGTGAAGAGCTGGAAAGCCAGAAGGAGCTGGGGTGAGGCTCAGCCAAGCCGGGAGCGAGGGCAGGTACCCAGGGGCCCTGCAAGGGAGCCCTGGTCCAGCCCAGATCTTCCAGATCTCTTTCCCCCACCTCCTCCCACTTGTTCTCTCCAGGGACAGGAGACACTTCAGCCTTCTCTTCACCATCTCCTCGGAGATAGAAAGGGATGGGGGGGCAGGATGAGTCACACCAAAGAGTAGCATTGAGGTAAGAGGCTGGAAGGCGTGGGGGCGGGGGCGGGATGAGTCAGGCCCAGAGGGCTCGGCTGTGTCCGCAATGAATGGAGCACAGAGCGCTGCTAGGCACAAGGCAGACTGTAGTAACAGCAGGGGCGTGTGTGTACACACGTACACGCACGCATGGAGACGACGCAGGCAGAAACGCAGATTCAGGCCATGGTTACACATGCACACACATAAACTGAAGCGGGGGCCGTCGTAGATATGGTGGGGGCTGGCAGACTGGGGCACAGACTCTGAGACCCACACAAGCAGCGCCTCCCTTCCACTCCCTCCTGGCCTCTTTCCTCTGTTCAGAAGGCAGCTCCTGCATGGTTAAGCAGCTGCATCCAACAGAGAGAGGGAAGCGGGGGTGCAAAGAAGGGGGTTGGAATGTACACACGGGGGTTGTCAGGGTCTGGGACCTGGGTAGACAGAGGTGGGAAGAGGCAGGGAGGGGCACCTTTTTGTAAGCAGCACTGGACTCCTCCAAGTCAGGTCCCTCCTCGGGGCCGCTTTCGCCCTCCTCATCCTTGACCTGGATGCAATCCTCCTCTTCCTCCTCCTCCTCTTCCTCCTCCAGGTCCTCCTGGGTACTCTCACTTTCCGTGGAGCCCTCACGGGGCATGGTCAAAGTGCTCTCCCCCAGCAAGGCCTCCTGCTGCTCCGTCAGCTCTTCCTCAGTCTCCTCCGGGTGTGTCGTGGGCTGCCTAGGCAGCTCCCCTGTCTTGGTGAGGATCTGGGGGGCAGAACACAAGGCCCATCAGCTGGGCGGGGCTTCCTTTGGGTTGTACCCCGCATCCACCACGTGCTCTGGGGGTGGCTCCACACAGTGGCTGCTGCCCCATCGCAGAATGCAGCACATTGTCTCCCAGGACCTCGGCCTCCCTGGGCTCACCTTGCCCAGCTGCAGCTGCTGCTGCTGCTTCTGCTTCTCCAGGAACTGCTGGTGCTGCTGCTGCATGACGAGCTGCTGCAAGGCCTGGGGACTCTGCGGCAGTGGCGATGACTGTGTGCGGCTCAGAGGCCGGTGCCGTGGGAGCTTGCCCACTGTCCGCATGCTGGTGGCCACACGTTCCCCTGTCACCAGTGGGGACTGCCCATGGAGCGGCACTGTGGGTATAGAGGTGAGAAGCCCCATTGTCAGGGCACCTACATGCCCCATCTGGCCCTCCTGGAATTCCCATCCCCAAACCTAAGCCTCCTTCTTCCCCCGTCCTTCCAAGAGCAGGTGCCCAGCTGAGATGCCGCCTGTAGCAGTTCCCCTCCGGACTCCCCCACTCTCCCAATTTGGTTTGCTGAACTGAGTGCACACATGTTCCCGGGTCTTCGCAGGTGTGAGGGTATCCACTAACTAGCTCTCCATAATGGCGTCAAGAACTCCCTGATCCTGGATTTCCACTCCTCATAACCTGCCAGGTTGCAAAGGCCTGGGACCAGGGTCAGTCCCTTTGAAGCTCAACCTTTTAGCAGGGCAAGAGCTACTTAAGGACTAAATGACGGATGTCATGTCAACCAATCCCACAGCCATGGGCTGCAAGAGCCCCCTGAAACATGTGCTGGCAATGTCACACACGCTATAGCGCACAGGCAGTGTGAAACCAAAGTCAAGGAACTCACTGAGAACCATACGTCGAAGTGAGAGTATTCTGGCTATACTGAGTTAAATGTATATTGTAACATCAGTGCCATCTGCTTCTACATTCTGCTGTGACTACATGAATGGTGTGTGTGGTCTGGACTGTGTTCCTACTCTACTGGACAGGGCAGCTCTGTAATACGGGCTTCATGACAGCAGCAAATGGTCCAGAACAGCCGCCTGCACAGCGCCTGCCTTCTGTATGTATTCCGTGTTTCCAGAAGGTAGGAGAACTCAGCAGTGCTGCTGAGAGGAGCTGTGTCAGGACGAGGGAGTCTCCCTGGTTGCCTGTCCCTGACTTGAGCCCCCAGGAAGGAGGGGCCCCCCAGCCCACTCACCAGCGATGAGGGCGCTCTGCTGCCGGGCCTGCTCCAGCAGCAGCACGTGCTGCAGCAAGGAGGCATGCCCGTGGGGGCCAGCGTCACCCTCCAGCGCCACACCCAGCAGGCAGCCTGGGATGGATGATGTGCTCATGAACTTGCCCGTCAGCGTGCCGCCCTGCCGCAGGGACTGGAGGGCCTGCCTCTCGGCCTCCTGCTGCGTCGACAGCTTCGGGGAGGCCTGGGCAAAGGATGGAGGAAGACACAGATAAGGGACCAACATCCTGTGCATACCCCAGCTCTGCGCAGGGCGTGAGAGGCACATGGGGGCAGCGATCCATACCAGAGGTCGGTACTTACGGTGAGGTGTGAGTTGGTGACAGTGACCGTGGCCTGAAGCCCTAGGGAGATGTTGGGCAGAGAGGGAGACGTGTAGAGGCTGAACTGGTTGGGGGAGCTGTCCAGAGGGAGGGCCCGGTGCTGGGGGAGCATCTGGGGAGCAGTCAGGGGGGAGAGACAGGCATGAGAGCGAGCCAAGGGGAGCTGGCAAGGGCAGGCAGCCTGCAGCCAAGGCCAAGGTCCCGGAAAAGGTGCTCCACACCTCCCACCCTACATTCCAGCTGGGCTGACTGAGGCATCAGAGCCCCCACGGAAGTTTCAAGTCCATGCAAGGACCCTCCTGCCTACCCATGTGGACAAGAAAGGCCTCTGCTGGGAACGCTCAGGCAGACAGACTGGGAAAGGGAAAGACAGCAGCTCTGGCCCTCACGCCCACCCCCACGACCACACTGGCCCCACTGGGGGCCTGACCTGTACCTCGGTGGGGATGTTGGGCACTGAGCCGGTGAAGCCGTTCTCGGCAATGGTGCCATGTGAGCTGTTGGGGGAACTGGGGCCGGAACCAGGAGCACTGTTACACACAGACGACACTACGGGAGACGGGGGCTGTCACCTGGGCCTGCTCTGAGCCCCTGCCACTCCAAGACCCCTATAAAGCAGGAGCCCCTTACCCCCAGGCCCAGCGCCCGTGATCTCAACCGCCCTCTTCTTGAAGGTGCTGATAACAGTCCCGTCCTTGCGACGCAAGAGGGGACTACTTCTCCGCTCGGCCACCTTCTGTTTTAGCCTCGAACGCACTTTCAAGTTGGGCTCAGAGGCTGAAGGGAAGACAGTCAGGCTTCAGAAGCATCCACATGAGCACAGCTGCAGCCCCGCTCCCCCACCCTACCCCATTGGTCCTGGTCCCCTCTCTCCCCCCAGGAGCCCTGCCAGTGCCATCAAGCGGGGGTGAGGGTAGCAGCAGGTGGGGCCCTAGCTCACCTGTCTTTCGTAGAGGGAAGTCATCACGGTTGTCATAGGGCCCGAGCAAAGGCAGTTTGTAGGAAGGGGGCGTCCCTGGGGGGCCGCTCTGGGGAGGGGAACTCTGGTCCAAAGAAGCATGATGGGCTCCCCTGGGGGAGGAGAATGGGGACAGAAGCAGGGCTGGGTGAACACCTGGTGCTTTGTGTTCCTGTCTCTACACCTAGACAGGTGTAAAGAGATCAGGGATGGGGAAGTGGGGGGGGAGCCTCCTCTCCCAGGAAATAGCAGCAGCCCTCCCTCCTGCCCTCCCCCTCCAGAATCTGCCCAGTGCCATTACCAGCATTTGGGGTGCTGTGGGAGGGAATGGTTGAGACCGCCTGGCGTGGGCTCCTTTGACTTTGACAAGAGGAATTCCTGGAGCCGGAGCTTCACCTCGGTGCTGGCGATGGCGCCTGTGGGACACAGTGGAGGTTACCTGGGGGTCTGAAAAAGGGTCACCCCCACACACACCCCACTCCCTCAACTCTGGAACCAGGGACAGGTCCTGGAACCCCACCCCACCCCCACTCCTCCCCTCTTACTCTCTTTGCTCTTTTCCTTGTTGCGCAGGATCAGCAGCTGCTGCTCCAGCCGCTGCTTCTCCAGCTCCTCCTGCCGCTGCTGCTCCCGCTGCCGCTGCTGCTCCAGCTCCTGCTGCCGCTTGGCTGCCAGCATCTCCTGCTGCTGCTGCAGGGGTGCAAGGCAGGAGTGACGTGAGCCAGGCCCCGAGCTGGGAGGGGAGGTCTGTGTCCCCTTTTCTTCACTGGCACCCACCCCCTGCATTTGTCCATTAGCATCTCCTGCTGCTGCTGCAGGGGTGTGGGGTGGGGGTGAGGCAAGCCAGGCCCCGAGCTGGGATGGGAAGTCTGTGTCCTCTGTCCCTCACCAGTACCCACCCTCTGCACTTGTCCGTTAGTATCTTCTGCTGCCGCAGGGGTGTGGGGTGAGGGGTGAGGAGGGCCATGTCCAGGGCTAGGATGGGAGGTTTAGGTGCTCCCTGCTCCCATTGGCATCTGCCCCCTGACCCACCTTGAGGTGCTTCTGCAGCTGGACCTCGTGCTGCCGGGTCAGGTGGTCGTGCTGCTTCTGGAACTCAGCAAACAGTAGCTGCTTCTGCAGCTGCTGCTGTTGCTTGAGCACCAGAAGCTCCTGCTGCAGCTGCTGCTCACGCAGCACAGGGTCCACAGGGCCGCCCAGAGCACCCCGCAACTCCACCGGGCTCGGGCTGCCTCCGCCCCCGCCACCCAGGGAGCTGGGCATGGTTCCTGGCAGCACTGGCTTCACCTCCACTGTGGGCACAAGAACAGGCAGGAGTCAGTGGGCTCAGTCCCCAAACCCCACAGCTGCTAGCATCCCAGGGAGCGACTGGGCAGGCTGGAGAAGGGTCAAATTCCTTGTGCGGTCACAGCCTACCACCTGAATGACAGCAGGTTGAAGTCACAAATTTCAGTAAGAAAGTATGTTCAAGCACAAGCGCAGTGCTTGGGCAGCTAATCCTGGGTCCCTTACACAGATGGCCTCTTCAGGTCAGCTACCTATGACTTAGATGTTGTGATCAACCCCACTTTACCACCAAGAAAACAGCTTTAAACAGGCTTAAGTCATGTGACCAGATGAGGCCAGGTGATGAGAGCAATAGGTGGTGAATCCAGTCTCTCTGCCTTTACCAGCATCCTGTACCTCTTCCTCTCTCTCTCCACCATGGCAGAATATAAACTGGGCACAGAGGGGCTGGCAGCCAGGCCCCTTCTGTAGACAGGAGGCAAGTAGATACCCTCTAATCTCCACTACTATCTCTCCTTTTCTCTGCTTCACACCCAGCTGGTGTAAAGAGGGCGCAAGGAGCAGCTCTGGGAAAAGGGAGGTGTGGGTAGTAGGGGGACAGGAGACTTTGGGGAATGGGATGCAGGACTGCACTGAGCCAGGGACAGGAGGAGGCTGGGAGTCAGACTAGCTTCCTTTGCTGGATTATCTCCTTTCAACAGTTTTATTGTAATTACCCTGCAAAAGCCTCTATATATAGAGCGAGTCCAAGAGCAGCTGTGCCTTGGGGGGAGGTGGGAGGAGGAGACAGGAAAGGAAAAGGAATCAGACAGGAAGAAGGGTGAGGGCAAAGGGGAGTGCTGGGCTGTGAGGGATCTGGGATTCCAGCCCCAGAGAGGACCCCAAGGGAAGGAGTGTATGTTGGAGCAGGGGAGGGAGGGCTGGGTCTGCTAGATTTTAAGACCTTGGTCCCTAAACCCTAGGACGCATAAAAGGTTGCAATGGCTCATGGGAAGGCTGCACCTCAACCTCCTGGGGCTGCACACTGTCCTCTCTCTGGTCACTGAATGCCACTCCCCATCACTGCCCTGTGGTTGCCAGGGCAACGGGGCAAACAGCACAGCAGCAGGGAGCCCCAAGCCCAACCCATGTCCCCGCAGAAGCCTCCTGACCACACGGGCAGGAAGGGAAAAGCAGGATGCACTGTCTGGGAAGGAGGAAGTGAGAGGCAGGGCGACCTCATCTTGTTTCTTTCCCACTTCTTTTTTCCAATGAAAGTCCTCACTGGCCTCGCTACAGTCCAAGGAGGCCACGGGCACCAGAGAAGCCTCTCTGGTGGTCACGTGGTCCCTCTAACCCATGCTTGGAGGAGAAAGGCCCCCAAGATCCCACAACAGCCTGTGAGCTGGCCTCTTCCAGGCCTTCATCAACAATGGGGAGGAGATCTGGAGGGAGCACAGGGTGGGCTAGGAGGGACCTGGATCTCTCCTCTCCACTGAATGGGTGTCACCAAGGCAGGAACAAAGCCAAGAAAGGCCATGCTACTCTCTTGCTGGGCCGTGGCCCCAGGGATTCTCCCCCAAGGAAAGGATTGGTGGGAGAAGCTAAAGGCTGAGCAGGATGCTCTCTGCAGCCCCACCAGCCCCCAGTCCCCCAGCGCGGCACATTCCTCTGTGGTTTTCCTGCCAGCCACACTGACGACTTTGCAGCCACAAGGCCAGAGCCACATCTGCAGGAGTGGCCAGATGTGGCCAGGAGGGTGGGGCTGCATGCGCGCGTGTGGACACACAAACACACAGAACTTGTCCCCTGCCCAAACACCAACAGGGCACCTGGGAACTACAGAGGGTCCTCCTTGAGGTAGCTGGCCCCCGCCCCAAGGAGTAGAATGAGGCAGCCTCTGGAGAGAGCCTTCAGAGAGGCCCCAACCCAGCTGGAGGGTCATCTGCTCTCGGGCAGGGTTGGCTTGGCCCAGGGCACCTGGATCACTCTGCCAAGAGATGGACAGGCTTCAACCTGCTGCTCCCAGCAGCTCTGGAGCTGCAGGAGGCGGATGCCAACCCGCCCAGGGAAGGCAGGGGTCCAAGTGCTCCTGGCTCCCAGCAAATAATCCTCCATGGGCTGGAACTGTAGCCAGCAGGGCTGGCTTCCCTCACAGGAGGCCCACATGAAGCACACAGGCCCAGGCGAGCAGAATTTCCCCCCACAGACAGGTCAAGTCCACAGCCCCCTGGGCATGCAGATGGCAAAGTAGCCAGAGGGTCCTGCTACACAGCCTATCCCATGAAGTGGGAAGCATGGAAAAATAAGTATTTGCAGGCCACACTTCATGGGTCTATAACGCAACAACCCAGCTTCCCACAAAAGGGAAGGGGCCCTAGCTTGGCTGCAGTTGGAGAAGGGGGTGGGCCATGGAGTCCCCAGGATATCATCTGCTCAGCAGAGCCTGCAGTCTGGCTTGGCTTGCACCCCTTGAGGGGGGTTACACCTTCTGCCAGCTCGGCATGAGCAGAGCAGGTGGCAGCATCTCCCACCAGAAGCCAGCCCCTGGAGGAGGAAGTGGGTGTGTCCAGAGAGGAAGAGGCCCTTAACTGCCTCCCCATGGACTGAGGAAGGTTAGAGATTCCAGAAACAGAAGCAGGTGCATCAGGAGCAGATTCCCTAGGAGGTTGTCTGTGGGCTGCGTGCTTCGAGCAAAGAACCTACTTGCATGGTCAGGTCACAGGCGGAGGTGAGACCCTGGGTCCTCCTGCTCAGCGTGGCTGTCACCCTGCTGCAGTGGCAGGTAGTCTAGAGAAACCAGGCATAATACAGCGCCCTCCTGTGGAGGGAGGAGCCAGGGCTCCTGGGCAGGCCCTGCCCCAGCCCCGCTGCCTGGGAGTGACAGCATGCTGCAGGGCTGGCCCAGGATGGAAAGCAGGGCAGGATGTTTCAGCTACTGAGCCCTGGTTCAAGAGGGGCTGCCTTGCCTGACTTTTGGGCACAACCGACCAGGCAGTGGTGACACTTAAGTGCAACTTTCTCCCAGGCTGTCTCAGAAGCCCATTCAACTCAGGGAGGGCTCCCACAGCACGTTCTTCAAGTGGCTCCATGAAGCACCAGGTTCCTCAGGCAGACATGATGCCAAGGCAGATGGGACAAGCCCCAGGAGCACTGCCAGCATGGACTTAGTCTAAAAACAGGGTATCCCAGGAAAGGACCATGGCCTCCAAGCAGATCTGTGAGAGGCAGGTCTTGGTGGCACCTTAGGGAACAAAACAAGAAGCAGATCTAGCTGCCAACAGGCAAAAACACATACCTCCTAGTTCCAAAAAGATCCCGTTCAAGGGGCCACCAGCCACTGAAGGTGAAGAACAGAGAGGACCCGAGGTATGAACCAGGGGTTCTGAGTGGCCTGGAATGCTGATGCCGGTGCAGTCTCTAACTCTGAGGGCACAGAGGGAAACAGCCCTTTGAAATCACTGAGTTCAGCCACTGGTGACCAGGCAAGGAAACCAAGCTTCTTAGTGGTTCAGCCGTGCTGAGGACCGGCCAGCCACACAGCTGCGACAGGGCTCTGAACCCAGGCCTCCTGACTCCCAGCCTGCTCAGCCTGGCTCTGACATGCGGCAGATGGAGACGCCCAATGGCAGGGGCAAGCCCTCTCCCAGCACCAGGGGGAGGTATCACTCGGGGGTGGCATCTTCCCCTGCACCCCTGCACTCCAGTCCTCAGCACCTGCCTCTCCAGGCTGGGTGGCCAGCGGCTGCCTTCACTGGCTGTCTCCTGACCTGCCCGGCCCACACCGTGACCCCTCCCCACCAGGGACGGTTTCCCATGATCTATTTTGGTGCTCTGACGTGACTGGAGTGGCCAATTTAGGCGCAACAGGTCCAACCACATGCAGACGCTATTTCCACAGGCACCAGCTGGGTAAGGCTCTCACCTAGCAATTTTCACAACCCGTGCAAGTAGTGCGAGTGAAGACACATCACGTAATGGCTGTGGAGTAGGAGGACCCCGGGGGCTCAAGGTAGGTGCGCCAATTGCTGAGACACTAGATGCCTCCCAGAGCTCCAGGCAGGCCAGGAGTAGGCAGAGCACCTCACTGCCCACCCCACCCCAGTATGTCACTGCTCCTCCACCCAGCACCTCGGCTCATGAAGACGCATGTGGAAGAGCTGGCCATGTGGCCCGAGAGGACCTCAGGAGGTACCAGCCAGGTATGGCATTCATGGCCCTTGTGTCTCCAATCTGATAACGCAGGAAGCCTCGCGCCCACTTCTCAGAAGGCTTCCAAAAGTACAAAGATTAGGAAAAGACTTAGAATCACATGCGGCCAGAACCCTGGGACACTGCAGGTGCCAGGCTCAGAATCCCCGCCAGCCTAACTTCAGAATGACCTGAGGAAATTCTGGGTCCCTGGCCCAAACAAGCCCTTCCTGTGGGCCTCACACCATCCATTCCAGAGTGGCCAACACCTGAAGGCCTGCACAGGAGAGAAATCTCCCACCCACCTTGCCAACACCAAGAAGGATCACTCTGCTTGGTGAAGAGGTTAAAGTGCCACTTGGCAACTGGTTCTGTGGTATAGCGGGTAAAGCTGCAACATGTAGTGCCCCAGCAACTCACCACCCCATTTCAAGAGGAGCAAAGCAAAGCAAGAGGGGGAAGCTACTTGTTCAAGGTCACCTGAAAGGGAAGGTGGAGGGGCCAGCACTTAAATTCCTCCTCTTTGTGTCTCTTTCTGCTCCAAGCCTGCCCCCCACCACTAAAAAACAGGAGGGGAAATCCTAAGGGTTGTTACAACTTTTAAGAAATATTGATTTATTTTTATTGGAAAAGCATATATTTAAAGAGGAAAACAAGAGAGAGAGATCCTTTATCTGTTGGCTCACTACCCAAGCAAAGGCCCTGGAGCTGAGCTAATCCAAAGCCAGGTGCCAGGAGCTTTTGGGTCTCCCATGTGGGTGTAGGGTCCCAGGGACTTGGACCATTCTCCACTGCTTTCCTAGCCCATAAGCGGAGAGCTGGATGGGAAGTTAAG